TTCTTCGAACTTACTTTATTTTTAAAAGCATTACTAATTTATTTGGGGGAAGGGGCACACACAAGTGTTAAAAGTAGGTTTTCCCGTTGGCCTGGTCCCACAGCCTCGCCAGCCCCAAATAACACACAGAGACGCTGTATTAGATATAAAGCTGTTGACCAGTTACTAGTGTTTCTTACTGGCTAGCTCTGTCTTAAACATTAACCCATTTCTATTAATCTAAATATTTCCACGTGGTCTTATTTTACCAGAGAGAGGGGCCGGCGTTCTGTTCTTTCAGTCCTCCATGTTGAATCTCCTCCCTACTCCTTCCTCTCTCCTCCTTGTCTCCTAGTCCTGCCTATCTTGCTTTCCTATTGGCCAACAGTTCTTTATTCATTATCCAATAAGAGAAACATATTTACAAAATGACATCTCCCATTACGCAAGCTGTGCTGGTTACACACAGCTCAGAAGACAACTTTCAGGAGCCATTCTCTCCTATCATGCAGATCCTGGGGATTGAACTTAGGTCGTCAGTTTGGGAGCAGGTACTTTTATGTTCTGAGACATCTTGCCACTTTTAAACTTGTTGACTTACTCCACAGTACATTGCTATGAAGTATACTTCAGTACAATTCTGAATTTACAACCAGGGAAGCAGTGTCAAACATTCTGCAAGGAGCAATGTGGCTGTGAGACCTAGGGTGACTGTTCAGGTGGCTTGCTGTTTCTGTCCTTGCTGCACATTTTGGAAGTTGTTCATCTGCATTTCCTGTCTACTCTAGTATTGTTAATTTCCTTCTCAGGTCTTGATGAGGTTGAAGATTAAACTATCACAACTATTATTCTCTCTTCCTAGTTAGATATATTAGGTACTAGACTTACGTTTTCCAGCTTAGGACAACTCTATTGTAAACTCCATTATGCCCTCACCCTAGGACTAGATATGTAGGTCATTTTGTTCTCGATTTTCCTTTTCTTAGAGCACACTTGTTATTCACTGTTTTGTATATAGTTTTGTATTAAGCCTAAATCTTTTCTTTAGACTAAAAGGGGAATTGTAGTGAGATAGTTCTGTGGCACTGACCACGCCCATTGGGGGTGGAGCCATGGGCGGAGTGACCTGTGGAAGGAGGTCGGAGGGGGCCAGGAAAGGCGCTCTCTTTCTGGCGTGACTCGGACAGGAGAGGATCGGGTTGAATTTCCTGGTGTTCATCTGTCTAGGTTGTAAGTTATTTCTCCCTGAATAAACATCTATTCGACCTATTTGTTTATCCTGATCCTTATTTTACCGCGTTAGGAGGATGATCTGAGTTAGGAGTTCAAGGCCACTCAGGCAACATGCTAAGACCCTGTTTCCAAAGGTTACTCACCTGGCAGAGAAGTAGCAGTCACTCATTCTCTTACACTGGATCAGGACTTTCTTTCAAGGGTTATTCATTTTCTGCATGTGAGTGTTTTGCCTGAGTTTAGGTCTGGAAACCACAGAGGCTGGAGGAGGCACAGGATCCTTGAAGCTGCAGTCCGTCACAGACGGTTGTGAGCCTCCTGTGGGTGCTGAGAACTTAAACTGGGTCCTCTGAAGAGCTGCAAGTGCCCCCAATCACTGTTCCATCTCCAGTTGTGGGATAACCTTTTTGTACACTGAAGATGTGCCTTTGCCAAGGCGCCTTCTGATTGGTTTAATAAAGCGCTAAATGGCCAATGGGTAGGCGGGTGGAATTCCCAGGAAGAGAGAGGAAGAGAAGGAATCTAGGCACTTGCACTTGGATTATACCATTGAGCAAATCAGACATACTGTACAGAGGAAAAGTAGCCAAGCCACATGGCAAAATGCAGATTAATAAAAGTAGGTTAATTAAGTTGTAAGAGCTAGTTGGAAAAAAAGCCTAAGCTAAAGGCTATGTTTTCATAATTAATATTAAGTCTCCATGTTGTTACTTGTGTGCTCAGCCCAAAGAAAAGTCTGACTACAATTAATGGCTCCAAAACAGGAGCAATAATAATTGCAACTTTATTACAATGTATCATTATAATATTATAATTGTACTTTGGTATTATTTTCCTTTTCTTTTGGAGATTTATTATTTTTTGTTAGATTCCCTTGGAGCTGGAGTTATAGATGGCTATGAGGCATCCAATGTGGTGGGACTTGAACTCAGGTCCTCTGCAAAAGCAGTATGTGCTCTTAACTACTGAGCATCTCCCCAGCCCCTTATTTACTTAATTTAAAAAAGACATATGCTACCATAGTATCTATTCCAGAAAGCAATATTTTATACAGGTGTGTGGGGGGCATCTACTAGACGACGGCTACATGGACAACTACACTGTTCTAGAATCCTAAACCTGCCCTTCTATGTAGACAGAGTTTACCTGTCCTGGGAGCCACTTCTACAAAACCACACTGAGACTTAATATTATTTTAAAACTCTTGGCCAATAGCTCAGGCTTATTACTAACCTAACCAGTTCTTACGTTTTAAGTTAACCCATATTCCTTTATTAGCATTGCACATTCATCTTCTGCTCCTTCTGCATCTGGCTGGCGACTCCTCACCAGGCCCTTCTCCTTCCCAGGATTCTCTTTCCTGCCTAACTTTATCCTGTTCAGCTACTGGCCATTCAGCTCGTTTATTAAACCAATCACAGTGACATATATTCACATAAAAAGGAATATTCCACAGCAAACCTGTTTCAATGCATGGCATTGGAGTCTTTATCACAACAAAACTATCAGAATGCTAGGTCATTTCCTTTGGAGGTTCGAAGCACTGGACTCGGGGCTTCCAGAATGAAAGGCAAGTACTCTGCAATTGAATTTTGTCCCCTTCCCTTAGTTTTTTTGAGACAGGATCATACTGTGTGTGTGTGTGTGTGTGTGTGTGTGTGTGTGTGTGTGTGCGCGCGCGCACGCGCGCGCGGCTCAGCCTGACCTTGAACTCACTGTCCTCCCCCCTTGCTTCGAACACTGGTGGTTCTGTCATTTTTAAAGGCCACCTTATCTTGGCCACACCACTGACATAATGGTTATATGACAGTAATCTGAATCTTTTAATAATTTGATAGTGACACCAATTATCTGTATACAGTAGCACCCAAGTGTAATCAACACACTTGTGAAGTAGAAGCCAGAGGATCAATGCAAGTTGGAGGACAGCCAAGGTGGCTACCTAATGAGACACTGTCACAAAAACAGTGGATAAAAGCACTTTCCACCAAGCCGGACAGTCCAAGGAGCCACATGGTGAAAGGAAATTACAGATTCTCAAAGGTTGTCCTCTGACCTCATACACTCAGTGGTACACGCGTGCACACACACATACACATACACACACACACACAAACACACACACACGTGCACACACGCATGCGCTTGCACATATGCACTATTGAAACTATAAAATATAATAATGTTTACTTTTTATTTATTTCTTGGTAGTTAATGTTCCAGATTCAGTCTTGGCTGATGAAACCAACATAAATTCCATATCTAACTATCAGAAAGTTTCAAAGTTCCACTGGCCAAGTCATGAGACAGATAGCACTGGAAACTTAAAAAAACAAAACAACAAAAAAAAAAAAACAAAAACAAAAACAAAAAAAAAAAACCAAAAAATGTTTGTCCTATGTGCCTGTATTTTTCTCCCACACAAAAATGGGCGGAGATGACATTTTAACAATTAAATGTCTAACTGTTAAATATTTCAAATTCTCCTTTGTGTGTTCTTAAAGTTTTCTCTTGCTCATACTGCCTTAGTATATGCCCTAATCATTTCACCCTTGTCGCACTTATCTTAATTGTGTATTTAAGTGATCACCTTCCCCACGGGACTCAAGAAGGCCGGGGTCTGGGTCCTGCAGTTCCGAACACAGAACAACACTACAAGTGAAGACGCACGTACCCTTGGTGTCTTTCACCTCAGGCTGACCACGAGCCCATCGTCTGTATCTGGATGATATCTAAGCAACCTCCCGTAGTCATTTTGCAGTCTCTCCTGCATCTTTCTCCATTGCAAAATGGGAATAATTCGTACTTGTCTCCTAGTGCTGCAGGGAGGAGCCAGGCGATGAGTGTGAAAGCATCGCAGCAGAGATTAGTTAATTCACTCATCATTTAAGGGACAATTAAGCTACTAGGCCCGCTATCACAGCGCTACACGTGTCTCTCCGGCAGCTCGTGGCCTTCGGGGCGAGCGCTCGGGGCAGGACGTCGCCCCTGGCTGGGGCTGGTCTCCCACGGAACGCGGGGCGGTGCCCTTATTAAAAATGGCGGCGGCGGCTTCGGCGGCGAGTGCGGCGGCGCGGACTCAGCGCGCCCTCTGACCTGTTGGCAGCGGGCGGGGAGGGGTGCCGGGGGCCGCCATATTGGCTGTTGTCCTGCGAGGGGAGCGGCGGCGGCGGCGGCGGCGCGAGCGGAGCCAGCGAGCGGGGGAGCGGCGCGAGAGGCAGCATGACGCGGAGGCGGAGCAGGCCGGGCGGCGGCGCGGGCCGGCGGGAACGGGCGCGGGCCGCGGGGCTGCAGAAGCCCCAGGCGCCCGAGCCGCAGCCGCCGCCGAGCCTGGAAGCGGGCGCGGGCGCGGGGCCCCCGGAGGCGCCTGCGGAGCCGGATCGCGACGGCCCCCGGCAGGAGGACGAGCCCACCCTGGCGGCAGGCCCTCAGGTAGGAGCGAGCAAGGCGACCCCCAGCGCTCGGCTGCTCTCACGCCCCGGAGCGGGCGGGGGCGGCGGGGGCGTGCCGGCCGTCGGGCTGCGGCCAGCCCGGAGCAGACGCTTCCACGCCCGTGCCGAGCGAGCGCAGGCCGGACCCCTCTCCAGAGCCGCGGCCCGCCAGCCCTCTGGCCGCCCTTCGCGGGCTGCGGTTCCGGCCGCCGGGACTGGCTGAGGTCCTGAGACCTCAGCCTGCCTCTCCGCCCTCCACGTCCCTCTGCGCCCACCCGACTCCCCCGTCCCCTGAGAGCTCCCCTGGGGCGCCGGGACCTCGGGGCTGCGCCTCTGCGCGCCCCGCCCCGCCCCGCCCCGCCCCCAGCAGCTTCATCCCTTTGCCAGCGCTGCTGCCGCTGCCCTCAACAGCTGTACCTCCGCATCTGCCTTCTGGGACCTCCCCCCTCCCCACCCAGCAGAACAGTTGCAGCAAACAGGCAGGCTGCCCCAAAGGCTGAGCACAGTTCCACTAAGGAGGAAACCCTTGGTATCCTCCCCACCTCCCGTCCCATAAGGCGGCTCCTACTCCCCGCCCCGACCCCCCGCCAGGCCCCTAGTTGGTGAACCCAGTGGGAGTAAGAGCATACGGGAGGATTCTCGAAAGCTTCCAGCTTGCCACCTGGAAGGTCACTTTCTTTTGAGCGAAAGAGAGAACAGGCGTGGGGTGGCGGGAGCCACAGTTGCTCAGGGAGGGTTGTGGCACCCGGGGCTGGGTGGCTTGCCCTAAGCTTGCTCTGACAAAAGAGTTTTGAGTTGGTTTTTTGGCTGAGCCTGCCGAGGAAGGCAGGCCCCTGCAGGAGTCTTGGAGGGTCGGATGCAGCGCCCGGATGAGGATGAGGCGTGGCGGAAGATGCGTTTGGCTCTGCAGACACTGCATCGGGCAGCAGGGGACTCTGGGAGGCTGGTGCAGCCTGAAGGCATGGCTCTTGACAGCCTTCTAGTAGAATCTCTGGAATTGTGCATGTGAGTGGGGATGTCATTTGGGGTACCATTCCTGGAAAGCTTTCCCTGACCTCCCCAAGTTATACCAAGTGTCCTCTCTGCCCACACCCTCTCTGCTTCCCTCTGGTGGCACCACCCCTGTGATGGATGTCTGCCCCAAGCCCTGAACTGTAAACACAAGGGACTCAGACGATGCATGCCGACTTTGTGATCCTCCATACCTATCCCAGGCTTTGCCTTGACGGTGTAGAACTAACTAGATGAAGGAGAAAGAATGAGTCAGCCCAGAACCAGAACCAGTACTTACCGTAACCCAGTTTTGCTGCTGCCCTCCTTTGTGTCTTGTATCACGGTGAGAAGATTTTTAATTAAGGGAAATCTCACAACTTCTTGAATGTCAGGAGCCTCGCCATCATCGTGCCTTGTAGCCTAGGTTGTGAGAAGTTTAAAATGATACTAACAGTGTAGACTCCTCCTGCCGGGTCTAGCTTCCAGTCAGAGGTCACTTCCCTCTCTAACATATTTTACCACCCCCCACCAAGAGTGTTGTTATCTAGAAGAGAGAGTCATGGAGATGTCTATTGTCCTCATCCTCTCCCATCAGACAAACAGTACTTTAGGGTACCTGTCACATAGACATGTCTGAAAGCTGGGATGGTATCTTAACATTAGTTTTTTTGAAATACAGATTTCCCCCAAAATTATAGCCTTCATAAATTCTTCTGATCAGGTTTTTATAGAGTCTCATCTAATCTAATTCTTGACCTAAGAATTCACTCCTTTACTCATGCCAGGTGATTGACATGCCTTACTTCTAACCTTTCTGCCGCTCTTGTATTTCTCCTAGTGTCTAGCACTAATAAGATGTGTTAACCACTGATACAGTTCTTTGTCTGCTTTTCTATATAAGTTCTAGAATGTAAGAGCCTTGTCAATCACTATCAGATCCCTGTTCCTAGTGATTAACAGAATTAGTAAGCAAACTAGAGGTATAACTACAATTTCCATGGTTTTCAGGTGGAATAACAGAAACCCACAACAACTAAATATTTATATAAATGATTCCCATTTAAAGATATAAGGCAAAGGTTCAGTCAAATAAAAATTCAGTCTTAGACACTCAAGGCTTTGCAAACATCAGAAACTTCTGCTGTGATTTTCCCCACTTTCTGCTGGGGGGGGGTAGAGATGAGGTTCAAGAAACAGGTTTTTTGTGCCCTGGTCAGAAGTACCTGGTGTCAGGGTAGAGACTGGTCATTGCTTCTTATTCACTGTCAGGCCTTTCCTGAGGATCTTGGTTCCTTAACTGCACACAGTTCTGTCTGGATGTAGAGTGGATAAGGAAGGTGAAGTTCAGTGTTAATGTTAGCTACTGAATCAAGTCCACGGGTGACAAATGAGACCATTTTCAGTCCATAGACTTATTCTAAGGTCCCCAACTCATATACCGTTTTATTTTTGTTTCTAATCTTAATGTACGCTGCTATTCTGAAGGAAATGTGTGGCAAGGTGTGGTGATTTGTGCCTGTAATGCTAGTACTTGGGAGGCTGAGATAGGAAGATAGCTTTGAATCAAAGCTAGTGTGAGCTACACAGCAAGTTGCAGGCCAGCCTAGGCTACATGACTTGTTTCAGTCAATAGGAAAAAGATTTTTTCATACTTGATTTGTGTCTCTTAAAACCGTAAAGTCTCTCCATGCAGTCATTCCTAGTCTCTGAGCGGTGTGCTTCCCTGTGCTCCTCTTGGCTCCTCTCACACCTCTTTATGCATTCCCATAACCTGTACACTTTTAGACACTAGGCCTTAAGATTATTTGGGTTCCCAATAGTCTTTCAGTCGTCCCAGCCCACTAAATCTTGTCTATTCACCCAGCGCCCCCAACCCTCCTTTACTTGAAGATAGAGCTGAAGCAGGTGCGTCTAATGAGCAAAGGATGGCAGTAAGGTAGAGGCGGGCCAACCCAGAGAGCCTAAAAGCAGTCCCAGGAGGCGGTGAGAACTCTGACTGACTCCCCTCCTGCATTGTGTCTCAGAGCTGCTGTCTTTCCTTTTTGAGCCTCGTCATCAAGGGAATGGGGAGCAGCCTTGTGCGCAGTCTTCTGGGTGGCGGGAGCTGTGCTGAGTGGCCAAAGCCAGCCTTACCGCTACTGCTAGCAGCTGCTTTTAGTCTCACGCCATGAGGCTTGCTAAGGAAACCAGCCATGAGCTCATCCTGTCCTTTTCCTCTTGTCTCTACTGCATCCCCTGGGACAGTCCAGTTTAGTGTAAAGGATCTCAAGAGACCTGGCTCTGCCACTGTTCAGAGTAAATCTGTTCCCTCGAGGAACGGGCCAAGGTGATCAGTCAGTATCTTTATTGAAATCATTTTGTTGTGTTTAATTCACTCAGCAAGCTTCAAAATGATCTCTGTAACCAGGGCCTTTGTTTGAGGTACACAGAAGGCCAAGGTAGCTCCTCTCCTTTGAGGCCCTCCCCTGCTGGCTCAGGCCTGTGGGAGGAGATGATAATGAGCAGGCAACCCTTCCAGCTAGTTCTTTATAAGCCAGAATCCCAGTGCAAAAAAGGCCAGTGACCTCTGACAACAAAGACTTGTCCACTCAGTTAAAAAAAAATTAATTTCCTTAAACTGTTCTCAGAGATCTTAGCTTACTGTCTGATAATAGATGGATGATTAAGGTCCTAACACCTTCACTTACTGTATCTAGGATTTTTTTAGAGCACTGACCATTTTAATTAAATCACATCAGACTATGATATTATACATGATCTTTATTACTCAATGCATGACTGTTGCATACCTCACAATGCCAGACTCACTGGCACTCCTTTAGGCCAGCTATGGCGCACACACTGTCATACCCAGTAGTCCTCTTGCCTAGCAGTCACTTATCCAGCCAACATTAAGGGACCCCACAACGCCAGGTTCTGGACTGGTTGCAAATTGGAAATGAGTGAAACCTGGTTCCTGTCTTCAAGGAGCGTATACTGATCAGGATGTATGTGTAGTAACTGCAGTAGTACCAGAAGAAGGCACAGTGTTGGCTGCCTTTGAATAAAGTTGTAAATCCTGCATCCTCTTAAGTGCCTCTGGAAGTTTCAGCCCTCTTGGTTTGTTTACCCTTACAATGTGACCCAGGCATACCAGGTTAGGGTTAGGAGGCTGACAATTCCTACCTGTGAAGCACTTCACACAAGTGTAACTATTACTGTAGGTGCTTGCTTCTTGGGGTGCCCAAAACATGGTAACCCAGGGAAAAGCTGAGACAGAATCTCTTCAGGACCTAGTCTTTTGATTGACTATTTCCAGAGAATGGGGTGGAGAAAGCAAGCAGCCTCTACAGCAGTGGTTCTCAACCTTTGCAATGCTGCAGCCCTTTAATAAAGTTCTTCATGTTGAAATGTCCCCTCAACCATAAAATTATTCTTGTTGCTGCTTCATAACTGTAATTGTGCTGGTTATAAATCCTAATGTAAATATCTGATATGCAGGATATGTGATATTTGAACCCTGTGAAAGGGGTTTCCTCCCCGCAAAGGGGTCTCAGCCCACAGGTTGAGGACCACTGGTCTGCAAGGGAGGCGAGCCCTGCCTGGATTCATTTGGAGAGCAGGGATGAGTTGGGCTGATGTTCCACTGCAGCGTGTGGGCATTGAGGAGGCAATGGGTGACGTGAAGCAGGAAGGCAGACTTGACCTTGTGACCCCTCTTTGGTACCATGTGAGGAAGTGATTCTTTGTGGCAGAGGCAGTTGTGATTGCTGTCTCTAGTCATGTCTCCCTCACCCTAGCCTAGACAGATCCATTGTTCTTTGTTCAACCCCATCCCAGACCTACCCAACGAGGGCGGGAGCCCATTCAGGATCCACTTTTGGATTATTCTAGGAGATTCTGAGTGTGGCTGGGTCTGGGAGCTGCTGCACTGAGGAAGCCTGACGTTGGGGGGGGGGTTGGTTTTTAAGGGGCTGGAGGCTTGAGGGTATTATCTCAATGGTATGGAGGCTTGAGGGTATATCTCAATGGTATGGAGGCTTGAGGGTATATCTCAATGGTAGAAAACTTGCCTAAGGTGTAAGGACTTGGGTTTGATCCCAACATCATTAAAAAAAAACTAAAACAGGCTAGAGAATTGGCTCTGGGGTTAAGAACACTTGCTGTTCTTTCAGAGAATCTGGGTTCAATTCCCAGCACCCTCATAGTAATTCAAAACTGGATTCCCAGAAATCCAACACCTTCTTTTGGTTTCCGTGGGCACCGGATATGAATGTGGTGCACATGCAGGCAGAACATTGACACGGTACACACTCACACAGACGAGCCAGCCTGCCCTCCTCTTCTTCAGTTGTTGGTTCATTCATGATATTCAGTTGCTAGTCATCTGTTGTATATCAGCTTGCTGTGTGTCTCTGCTGAATGACTACAATACATGGTTCTGGAACAGTGCAAATGTCCTTGGAAATCCCATGGTACTGTAGAAATAATAGGTTTAAACAGTTAAAATATGTGAGGTAGGGCCATGCATGGTGGTGCATGCCTGAAATTCTGGCACTTGAAGCAGAGGCAGGTGGATTTCTGTGAGCCCTGTTTTTTGTTTTGTTTGTTTGTCTGTTTAATCGGAGAGATTGCCTCTATTTTAGAGAACCATGAGAGCATAGAGTAGTCCAGAATGAAGCTCATTCATCCTGACTGTACCCTTGAAGGATCTGATACCCAAGTTGAATCATTAGAAAAAAAGGGAAAAGGCAGTGCATTATGCAATTGGGGGAGTATGTAATGGTTCTTCACGGGCAGGTAAGAACTCAGGAAAGGCAAGCTTGTGTCCTTTCTATCATCCTCATACGTCATGTTAGGTAGCCATTAGCTGAGTAGGATGAGGGACAAGCTGCAGTTTCATAAATGGTTTGTCTCCTTTATCTTCTAGCCAAAGCTCTTGACTCCCTTTTGATCCCCACCCCTCTGAGGATGAAAGAAGTGGCTATTTCTATTCTGAAAAAGAATGTGGGGAAACTAAGGCAGGAGAAAAGGGCCAGAGGAACTGCAGGCGCTGGAGATCTTCATTAGGAAAAGAGGGCCGTGTTGTGGAGCATGGGGTTGAAAGATGCCTTGAAGATCACTGTTTAGTCTTCTGTCCTGTGCTTCAAGTAATAAATTTGGTTTGGGCAAGTCTCACTTAGTAAGTTTCCCTATCATTTCTTCCAGGGCAGAAGAGGAAAGAAACTAACGGGTATTGAGCACCTACTGTGTGCCAGACCCAGGCCAGGTACTTTACATAATTTATTTCCTTCTGTCCTCACAACTCTGTGAAGTATGGTGTTATTCCCATTTCATAAATCGAGAAACCTGAGACTCAGAATTTGAGTAATGCTCAGACATACTGGAAATGGCCAAACCACAATTTGAACTTAGAACCATGTCTCCAAAGTTCATGCTCTTTTCCCTGTGAGAAACCTGTCCTGAAGTTAAGAGTAGTAAAACAGCAGTTGACCAAGGATTCAGTTAAGTGAACTTGGGCCTTCCCTTGGCTACTTGTTCTGAAACAGATTGAGTGGATTGGGTAGGCTTGCACACCAAAGAAGGTTCTTTACCAATTGGCCTTATGAAGTGAACCTGTTTTCTGCCTCCTGGAAGGGCCACACTGATTAAGAGACAGCAAAAGTTCCAGACCACTGAGGTGGGGTTTGGTCCATTTCCAGAGCATTAGCTGCAGCTGTGGTTGCTAGAATTCCAAGAGTCTTAGCTCTTAGCAGAGCCATGCCTTCAGCACAACATCTCAGGAAAGGCACTAGTTTTGTTGTTTTAAATCTATTCTAGATGTTAAATAGCTGACACAGTAAGCCAAAGGGCCATCAAATCCCATGTAACCAACGCCTGCTATATGACAGTCAACAAGCCATACATGGTTTCTGAACATATGTAAATGATCACCAACTACTTCGTCTCCAGAGAGCTGCATTCTGCCAGGAGTATGGCACAGTGTGACAGGTGCTAGACTAGGATTACCTTAATTTAGCTTAGTGCAGAGTTTCCATGACCTTTGACTAGGGTCTTACAGGATGTTAGGAACTTACCAAGGGGATTCCCAGTGTGTAGCACACTGGTTGACATGAGAAATTTTAGCTGCTGTGTCAGCTACTCTGCCTTGGAGTCAGGGAAGCTCTTGGTGTTTGGTATCTTGAGAGGCAAGTACTCTCATGGGCTGTTTCAGAATAGAATTTAGAACATGTTGCAGGGCAGCTGGCTAGATACAGGATGTGTCTTGGGAAATCTGGTGCAAACATGCACGAGCTCTTGGGACTGGGAGGAACTCCTAGGAGAATGAGACTAGGCTAAATGTTGAAAGTCAGTCCAGCTTCAGGAAAGATCTTGGCACCTGTCTGGTCTTGTGATCAGGGTTATTCTCTGACACTTGCTAAACTGTGGACAGAAAGGCCAATATGAAAAGTTGAGTCATGCCCCAAAAGCTGTACAGCCATATACTTGTTGATAAGAATTATTGTCTGACACATAGTAGGTCCTAGATTTGATCTCCAGGACTGGGGGTAAAAAGACTGATAATATTTAAGTTACCACATTAACATAAATTGCAGCTTTTTACTAAAAGTGATTATTTGGGGGCCAGTGAGATGGCCCTGTAGGTAAAGCATTTAGTGCTAAACCTGAGGACCTGAGCTCAATCCCTGGGATGTACATAGTAGGAGAGGGAGGCTCATGGAAGTTATCCTCTGATATCCACACACACAATACAGCATATGTGTCCCATGCAGTATACTCATATACATAGTGAATAAATAGATAAATAAACGTGCTGGCTTTTAAAATAATAATTATATATTTAATTTGTACATTGAATAGAAGAATGTTCCTGTTTTCATTTTTGTGGATTTTTTTAATAAAGTAAAATTGGGGGAGGAGACTTGCTATGTAAGTGCAAGAATTAGAGTTTGTATCCTCAGCACGCAAATAAAAAGCTATTACGGTTATATATATTTGTAACCCCACACAGAGCTAGAGGTGGGTGTATGTGAAGACAAAAGGGTTGCTGAATTCCTAGCCCACCAGCCAGCCTAGCCAAAAACGATGAGCTCTAGGTTCAGTGAGAGACACAAGCTCAATAAGGCAGAGAATGGTTGTGGTTACACACATATTACCCCCCCCACTCACACACACACATACACACATACTCGTACAAGTAGAATAAAGCTGTACTCTTAGGTTGAGAATGTAGTTCAGCTGGTAGGGTACTGGCTCAGCCTACACAAAGCCAAGTCCAATGTTGACGTCTTTGTATTAATTTTACATTAAAAATCCATTATCTGAGCCTAGCATAGTTGTGCATACTTTTAATTGAAGAGGCAGGCGGATCTCTGATTTTTGAGGCCAGCTACACAGTGAGACCCTGTCTCTAAACAAAAGTAAAAAAATAAAATAAAATAAAATTTGAGCCAGGTGGTGATGGTGCATACCTTTAACCCCAGCACTTGGGAGGCAGAGGCAGGTGGATGTCTGTGAGTTCCAGGACAGCCAGGGATACACAGAGAAACCCTGTCTCAAAAAGCCAAAGGAAAGAAAAGAAAGAAAAATTCTGTTGTACATTTCAGATAGATCCTTTACCAATGTATGATTCTGTGAAATCATGCTTTAGTCACTTGGAAAATGAGTTTCATTTATCATGCCAACAAAATATCATTTGTCAATGACCCACTGATTTCCATCAGACAAATATTGAACACTAAAACTCACGGTAAGTGATGCAAGCTTTTCCAAATTCTAAGTTTTTGTTTGTTTTTGTTTTTAGACAGATTCTCACTCACAGATTCTCATTCTGTAGCCCAGTCTGGCCACAAACTCATGGTGATCCTCCTGCTTCAGCTTCTGGGAGTGCTAGGATTAGAGGTGTGAGCCACCATGCCTAACTTTCAAATTTGATTTTTTGCTTGAAAGCTTGAATTTTTATCATTGGCCACAAATATGTGGCTGTTTTTCTTGAAGTAATAGGCTTGTTTTGTTTATGTGTTTATTTTTTGAGACAATGTCTGCTAATTCTCATGTCTGAATAACAAAGGCATTCTTTCAAGGTAATACTGACTGGTATTAACATGAAGAAGAAAAAACAATTTCCCCTTTGGTCTGTTTTTCCAGGAAATACTGGTTGCCTTAATTTAGTGCTTCTTGAACCAAGCAGAAATCGTTGGGCTGGTAAGGGAACAGAGGCGCTGGTTTCAGTGGCTACAAATATCAGCTCCTCAACCCTGGTGTTCTCTGCTCTGGTAATATGCGCACTATAGCATGGGTTCCCTGTGAGCAGTACCACTGTTCAGAGATTCTGATTTCACTTGAAGAGTGAAACTGTTATCCTGAAGTCTTTTTGACAAGTTAAAAATCAACAGAACCACTAGAATTTTTCCTTCTTCATGTTATACCTATACCCCAGGGGCTCTGAAATTTAATCTAAGGTGAATGGGAACAATTAGTTGCTGCCCTGGGATTCTGGGTTTTAGAATTCGTTCTATGAGCCTTTGTGAAGAAAAAGTACAGGGTGTTTTCATTCACTTGATGACCAGGTTTTTGTTCAAAGATAGCAATACAGCTTTGAGAACAGCAAGTTGAAAGCCTAGGTTCACTGACTCAAGGTATAAGGGGCCATGTTTGCCAGAATTTGAAAAATAACAGGGGTCACAGTGAGAAGGAACCCAAGCCAAGAGCTGTGCTCAGCCACAGTATTAACTAGAAGGCCCTGGAGCATTGTCTAGGCGGTGGGATTCTTACCATCGTCAGCAACTAGAGCAGAGTTGAGGCACCAGCAAGAGGGCACAGCCGAAAAGATGGGTGCTGCCAAGGTCAATAACTTTAGCTGGGTTCCTGGACCTCATAGTAGACACACAGTTTGTTCCTGAAAGATGTTCTCTTGCCTTGTGTGCATAGACAGGCACACACATGCAAACAGGAACATGTGCACTGAATGTAATTTAAAATTAATAGTTAAGAGTGCGGTGCGTACTGTTCTTGCCGAGGACCCGAGCTTGATTCCCAGCACCCATGTTAGGGTGGCTTACAACTGCATATAACTTATCTCCAATACCTCTGGCTTCCAAAAGCACTTGTAGACACGTACACATAGTTAAAAATAATAAAAAATAAGTATTTGAAAAATAAAAAATTAAAGCAGAGATGAAATGTCAGGAGACAGTCGGGTATAGTGGCACATATTTGTAATCCTAGCACTCAGGAGGCTGATGCAGGATTATAAGTTCAAAGGCAGCCTGACCTATTCTAGACAAGGTTTCTCTGTGTAGATCTGGCTGTCCTGGAACTCACTCTATAGACCAGGCTGGCTTCGAACTCACAGAGATCCGCCTTCCTCTGCCCCCTGAATGCTGGGATTAAAGGTGTGTGCCACCAACACTACCACCACCTGGCCTCTTGTTTTAAGAAGCAGTCTCAGCTAGTCTAAAAGAGAAATAGAGCTCATGTAAAGGTGGTCACAGCACTTGGAGTGACATTCCTTTAACCCCAGCACTGAGGAGGTAGGGGCAGGAGTGACATGCTGGGCAGAGAGGAATGTAAGGCGGGAGGAGAGAGAGATGCAGTCTGAGGACGGGTCGCCCCTTTGGTCTGAGCATTGGTAGAGGTGAGGACTCTCTAGTGACTGGCCGCTTTGCTTCTCTCATCTTCAGCATTAACTCCAATGTCTGCCTCTGAGTTTTTATTAATAAGACCCATTAGAACTCGTGCCACAGGCCCCTCCAAACTGCATGGTTCTGAAAAGCATGACGTAAGTGTACTAACCTTAAGAGAGCACTGTGGATAGCCAGTCCCTACTGTAGACTTGTTAGGTACAAAACAACCAAAGAGCAAAGAGCCTGGTTTGTAAATTGAGTGCCTACTGTTTTGATCCCTTTAGGTGAACGTTTTTTTCTACCGTCACTTAGACCTTTGGGCAACTCTGTACAATGCAGATGGTGTCCCTGTGTCAGTTAAAACTTAATTAGCTTTCCATGTCTGCTTCTTCCTTCTTCCAGGAAAGACGGCCTGCCCGATAGAGTGACTTTCATTAATGGCTAGTTCATTTATTTTGTGGCTTAAGTTAGCTCTAGAGGTACATTATTTCCTTGGATGGCAGCATACTGTAATCCTTGAAGACTGCAGGCTCGCATTTTTCCTCTTTGAAATTGGAACCATACAGGTAGAGAGGTGGAGACCTGCTCTACAGGAAGCAGTAATCTCAAGGATGGTCTCATCAGCTATAATGCTATGATGATGCTTCACAGATCCAATGAGTTAGCCTTGAGCCAGCCTCTACTGCCCTCAGTGTCTGCATCCAAAGAAAGGACAAAAGGAGCTGGGCGTGGCGGCACACGCTTTTAATCCCAGCATTTGAGAAGGCAGGAGGATCTCTGTGAGTCTTAGGGTGTTCTGGTCTGTATATCAAACTTCAAGATAGATAGGGCAGCATAGAAAGACCTTGTCTCAAAAAAAAAAAAAAAAAGACAGGGAAATAAACAAAATAAATAGCATGATGTACTAGGTAGACATAGGGAAGAAGACCTCTCTCGGATTGTCTAGAGGGGTGTGGAGTTAGGATGGGGCCTTTAAGGCCTGCTCAGTTATTTGTTGGGAAATGGGGATAGAAGGGTCTTAAGTAGAAGACTTCTTTTAGCAAAGGAAGAGGTAATGAAGTACAGAGTATTTGGGGGACTTAAACATTTGATGTTGTGGGGTTAGAGGCAGAAGTTAAGATGTTTAAGAGAGACCAGGCATGGAGGGTTATGACTGTAATCCTGGCACTTAGAAGGCAGAAGCAGGAGGATTGCTGCATGAGCAGCCTTGGCTGCAGGATGAGACGTCTCAGCCCCCAGTAGCCCCCCAAAAAGAAAAACAGTATCTAACAAGGTATCTTGCATTCGTTGTATATGACAAGTTCTTATTGGTGTAAAATTCAGTGATTGTATTGTTCCTTAGCTCCCGTCATGGAATTAGTGCCTCCTGTTTAGCACTGGTGGAGGTTCTTCATCACATTTCATTCTCAAAACTGACCCTACAAGTTAGGGCTTACTCCCGTTTTAGATGAGCAGAGAGGGTAGGCAGGACCTGCCAGGGTCACACAGCTTTAAGCGATGGCAGCTCAGGGTTAGTACTAGCACCAGTGTCTTCACTGCACCCAGCGCCACCCACAGCTACTTTGACTAGGTACAATCACATTTGTCACACACTCAGATTACAAGAATTCTGTTTGCTTTGAAAGAGAATGTAGAAAGCATCTTTTAATGTATTTGTATCGATGTTTTACCTGCATGTGTGACTGTGTGCCCTGTGGGTGCTGGGAATCAATCCCAAATCCCCTGGGAGAGCAGCCAGTGCTCTTAACCATTGTGCCATCCCTCCAGCCCTGTGAGATCTCGGAGAAGGCGTTCTTTGTACTGTGAGATATATGTTTATGCACTTGCATTATTGTTCAAAACCATCAATTAGCCAGGCATGATGACACATACATTTAGTCTCAGCATTTGGGAGGCAGAAGCAGGTAGATCTCTGAGTTCAAGGCCAGTCAAACCTACATACTAGGTTCCAGGCCACCCTAGGGCTGCATAGACTGTGTCTCCAAAAAAAAAAAAAAAAAAAAAAAAAGAAAGAAAAAGAAAAGGAAACAAAACATTTAAAAAAAACTCTTTATGTTCTACTTTATAGGCTATATAAAAGATTTAAATACACAAGTCCTGGTTTTGATTTCTAGCACTGAGAGAGAAAAGATTGGTTTAAAGATTTTTACTCTTTTCAAAATATTTTCATGGGCAGACATGCTGGCACATGTACATGCCCATAATTCCAGCACTTAGGAGTAGATGAAGGAAGATGAGGGATTCAAAACCATCCTTTGCTACATAGTTAGTTCAAAGCCAGCTTGAGTTTCATGAGACCCTGTCTCAAAAACCAAAACAAGGTGAAAAAACCCACCAACTACAACCCCATGTAATGATGGTAGGACCCTCATACCCAAGTGAAGCAAGAGCTGTTACGAAGACCCTCACCCTGGTGTTGCCTGTGGTGGTCCTACACTCTAGGAACAAAGCCCTGTGTATTGGTGGCCTCCCCTTCTACCTGCAATTACTACAGCTCACCTTACAGCTTTGAGAAATGCCCTAAGTACTGTTCCCAGAAAGTCCCCCTTTGGGGCCTATGAGATGGCTTAACAAGTACAGGGGCTTCTGCCGAACTTGACAATTTGAGTTCAAGCCCCAGGACCCCATGGTGGAGGGAAAGAGCAACTCCAGCAACTTGTTCTCTGACCTCTGACCTCCCTCTACACAGGTGCTCAGATATGCACACATACACACAACAAATAAATACATTAAAAAATCTTCCTTTACCTTAACTTCTCAAACCATTTCTCTCCATCAACCTTCCATGCTTGTGACATGACAGATGAGTTCCGTCCACACTTAACATTAAGCAGCTGCCTTGTGCATTGAGACAGCCCCTTGGTAAAGTGTTTTGGCTGTGTCTTTTGTGCATTCCATTTGTAAAATGTCCTTATCTCTGGCACTCTTCTCCATAGTCCTTGTGCTTCCTAAGTGTTTCATTATGCTCCTGGTGTCCCTTCTGCTTCTTTCCTTTTTGGAGAAACCAGGAGCCCAGGGTAGTATGATGGCAACATAGCATACTTAAGGATACGCTGATCCCAGCTCATTGTGAGAAGGTGATGTCACATGAGGCACCCCTTGCAAACACATTACCTAGTGGAGAGTAAATTTCTCCTGAATCTACTGCTTGATGGATATTGCTGCTGCTCTAAGCAGACCTATCTGATTTCAGCTGGGCTCACTCGCAGATCTGATTTGCTGACTGATGAGTTAGGAATACTCCCATTTTCTCCAGGTCCCATATATGGGCAGGAGTCTGGCCATTCCCTCATGGTGTGTTAGAGGCTTAAGATCATGCCAGGCCATCCATGCAAGAATGCTAGAAGTGCATACACAGTATTCAGATTGGTGCTGCCAGTGTGTCTGCTAACACCCTGTTAGCCCACAGGAAGTGACAAGGCCATGTGCAGTGTCAGTGGAAGGAGACTAGAGTTGGAAAATAGAGAAAAACTATTACTTGAGACTATAAATGTAATTAGGTTCCCAGTTAGAACCCCAATGTGAAAGGGAACTTTCAAACTTAAATGCCTGGATCAGATATGTTGTAGGAGGAAGAAACAAGTCAGTAATGATCTGGGCCTGGGCTATGGATTCTGTACAACTCTGCAAGGTGGGTGGGAAGCAGAGCTCAGAGAAGTTAAATAACTGATTTGTGTTGAGGCTGAGATGAGAGTACGTGTCTGGCCCCAGAGTCTAGGGTTTTCAACCATCCTTACTCAAAAGAGCAGCAGGGTCTGTCTTCCTGTGTGTTTACTAGCTCTGCAAACCCTCTTCTAAAACCCCACTGCAATGCTAAAGGAATTGTTCGTCTCTCCAGAAAGTGCACATCCATTTTCCTTCCAGGTGAGGACTGGTCTATAACCTGCATAGAACTGTGGCCCTTCCTAGGCATTTCAGAGAGGGAGAAGCCTCTTCTTTATTCTTTGACATTGAGGACATGAGCATGAGTTTTGGAGTCAGATTTACTGGGATTCAACCATTCACTAGCTCTGTAACCTTGGGCAACTCATTTAACTTCTTGAAATCTGTTTCTTCATCTTTAAAAAAAAAAAATGGGAATAAGAACACCTTGTTTGCAGAGCTGTAACACGGACTAAAGCTAAATTATGTTTATAAAGTGCCTATCCCAGTGCCTGGCACGTAATAAGTGGTGTTATGAATACTGTTAGCATCATTTCTAAGGACAGCCTTTCCCCCTCCTGGGAACCCCTGTGTCTGTGTGTTGGACAGGTGCCCCCCACCTCCAGCCAGTCTGTGCAGACTTGTTGCCTGCTGTGTCACCGCGAGCGCAAAGGCTGGGAAGAAGGCCCTTCACAAAATGGACTGGTGTTGCAGGGCGAGAAGCTGCCCCCTGACTTCATGCCAAAGCTCGTGAAGAACCTCCTAGGCGAGATGCCTCTATGGGTCTGCCAGAGTTGCCGAAAGAGCATGGAGGAGGATGAAAGGCAGACAGGTCGAGAACATGCAGTGGCGGTAGGTAACAGTTGACAGGTGACCCCTGAGTGCAGAGCTGCTTCCTCCCTGAGGAGGTCAGGCTGTTTGCCCTGGCCTCAGGAAGCACTACCCAGTCTGCTCTGAGGAACCATCCGGCTGTACTTAGTGTTACAAGTTGGGGTTAGATCTGAGGGAAGAAGGCATGGGCCTGCTAGTGGACGTAGGTAGAGCTTGATCTATCCTGTTACCTGATACCTTCAGTCCGATGACTGAAAGGCCACTACTATGACACAGATGGGTCAGGAGACATCAGTCATAGCTAAGAGCCATGGAAGCCTGCTGACTGTGAGTAATGTCAGTCCGACTCCTCACTTTTCCTTCCCTGGTAGACTTTCATTTGTCCAGAATCAGTTTAGTTTCAAGACTTCTAGCTTGGGCTAGAAATGTAGCTCTGTGATAGAATGTTTGTCTTGTGTGTGCATAGCTCTGAAATCATTCCTTGGTGCTGGAAGGAAGGAAGGAAGGAAAGGAAGGAAGGAAGGAAGGAAGGAAGGAAGGAAGGAAGGAAGGAAGGAAGGAAGGAAGACAGGCTAATGAGATGACTTGGTGGGTAAAAGCACCAAAGCATGTGCCTCACAAGCTAAGGACCTAGGTTCGAGTCTTCAGAACCCACATAAAGCCACATCTGATAGTGCATAGCTGTAATCCCCGTGCTCCTGCAGTACAGTGGGAGGTGGAGACAGGACCTAGAAGCTGCTGGGCCAGCTAGCCTTTCTTACACAATGGCTAACCAACAAGGTGGAAGGCAAGGACTGCACCCAAGGTTGACCTCCACTAGTACACCATGGCACATGTGTACCTACACTTACATGCGTGTATACACATCATACACATACACAGATATTCACCAACAGAAGAAAGGGCTGGTGTGGTGCACTTACGTTTAGTCCTGGTGCTTGGAAGGCAGAGGTAGGCAGATCCCTGTAAGTTTGAAGCCAGTCTTCGTACATAGTGAATTCCAGGACAGCCAGGGTTCCATAGAGAGTTAGACCTTGTCTCAGAAACCCAAAGAAATCAATGACAGGCTGGGGCTAAAGAGATGGCTCAGTGGTTAAGAGCGCTAGCTGCCCTTTCAGAACACTGGGGTTTGACTCTCAGTACCCACACGGTGGCTCATAACCTGCCGTAATTCCAGTCCTAGGGGATCGATGCCATCTTCTGGCCTCCATGTGCATGTGGTGCACAGACATACATTCAGACAAACAGACGTAAACATAAAGTAAAAAATAAAGTCTCAAAACTTTTGAAAAATACATGGAAGGAAGGAGGGAGGGAGACGGGGATGAGAGCGTCAGTGCTAACCCACACCTCGGATTCACAGACCTTCCATCTTGTTGGCAGTTCCTCACACTCACAAGTGCCCGTGTTCATAGACAGAGGAGCAGCTCCTTGCCCACTGTCCACACAGACATGGAACTGGGGCCACCATAGTCTCTTCCAAGTACCTACTCGGCCCTTGATTATAATTCAGCGTGACTTGCGCTGATTGACTTCGGTCATGACCTAAGGGCCTGAATTCAGGAGCAGAAGGTCAGCTCCACTGTTTGACCATGAGCCTTTTCTTTCTCCTTTCCAGATTTCCTTGTCACACACATCCTGCAAATCACAGTCTTGTGGGGGTGACTCTCATTCATCCTCGTCCTCTTCTTCATCATCCTCATCTTCCTCCTCCTCTTCCTGCCATGGGAACTCAGGGGACTGGGACCCCAGCTCGTTCCTGTCAGCTCATAAGCTCTCAGGCCTCTGGAATTCCCCACACTCCAGCGGGGCTGTGCCAGGCGGCTCGCTTGGGAGTCCTCCTGCCATCCCTGGTGAGTCTTTAAGCTTTGGAAAGTTCTGGGTCCCCTTCTACGTAGCTAGAACTGTTTGCCTCTCTACTTCAGTCTAGTCAGTGAGAAATTTGGTTATTAAAGTAAACATGGACCTGTTCTGATGGCAACAGGGACAACTTAGACCTTGACTACCTCTGGAAGACCTGCAAGACTCTGAAGTTATAGAATACTTCCCACAGAGAGGAAACGCCCTCATAGCTGTCATTGGCTTAACATTGGAGTCAGGAGAGTCCTCATACTGTCTGAGGAGCAGGTGGCCTGGGAAAGTCTTAGGGAAGTGAGACTTTGATCATGTACACCTGCCCTCTAAACCATTGACAACCTGGCCACCTCTGCTTCCTTAGCCTCCCTGGCTTTGCTTGTCTACCGTAGGGATAGCTGTACAACACTGTACTTCACCAAAGGAGACTGGCAGGTCAGCAGGCAGACTACAGGAGTCTTCCTTAAACTCAATACTAATGCTCAGAGACCCAGAGGGAAGGCCTTCGGATTGTTACTGTCATAGTTGTAAATGGAGGATGGGGTTCTTCGAAATGGTACTGTTGTAAAAGTATGTAAACTGAATACATAGCTCCAGTTATCTTGTCTGTGCCGAGGAGAGTCATCAGCTTTTTCCACCTTCAGTCAGAGATTGGTAGCCGCCCAGGAGCCAGGCATACCTTGTCTGCTTTGGTCCATGTGGCCCAGAGACAGATCCCAAGGTTGCTATGACTTCCCTTCCCAGACCTAAAGAATGCCTATGTGTAAGTAGCTCCAAGAGGATTCCAGAAAAACAGCAGAGCTACCCTCTGTCCACACCACAGTTGAGCCACAGCCTCCCTGGGCTTGGCTTCTCAAACCTGTCCATTAGACCTGCTCTCCATAGCCTCCTCAGGGGCCTTGTGCTGAGAGGCTGTGCTCTCTGGTCACAGTGGCAGGGTGATGTGGCAGTGGGCCTGTGGGCTTTCCTTCCCAGGTCTGACCCCTCTTTTTCCCCTCCACCTACAGGTGAGGCTTTCCCTGTCTCGGAGCACCACCAGCACTCAGACCTCACTGCTCCCCCTAACAGCCCCACCGGCCACCCCCCACATCCAGCATCTTTGATTCCTTCTCACCCTGGCTCCTTCAGCTCACCCTCTCAGCCACACCTGCTGCCCACCGCCCCGGCAGCACCTTCCCCTGCCCAGGCCTCAGAGTGCCCTGTGGCTGCTGCCACCGTCACCCACCCCCCAGGGCCTTGTCAGAGCCCCCATCTGCCCTCCACCAGCATGCCACTCCTGAAGATGCCTCCACCATTCTCTGGGTGCAGCCACCCCTGCAGCGGGCACTGCGGTGGGCACTGCGGTGGGCCTCTCCTCCCACCATCAAGCTCTCAGCCACTCCCTAGCACTCACAGGTAAGTGAGTGGCGTGGAAGGCACCACTCCCTTCTCACTGGAGCCAAGAGTTGTGGGAAACTTGCCAAGAGCACTTTGAGGATAGAAATCAAGTGTAGATTGGGCTGGAAGAAGTAGCTCAATGATAGCTCAGTATGCACACAGTCTTAGCGTGCATAAGGTTCAGTGTTCGACCCTTAACACCAAAATAAATAAGTTCTAGATTGAGAGTTTTTATTATAGGTTTTTTTTTTTTTTTTGCAGGGGGTACTGGTTTTTGGAAACACAGTTTCTCTGTGGAAAATCCCTGTCTGTCCTGGAACTCACTCTGTAGACCAGGCTGGCCTTGAACTCAAAGAGATCCACCTGCCTCTGTCTCCCAAGTGCGCTACCACCACCCGGCTCATTATAATTTTTTTAAGATTAGGTGTAAAAAGGAAAAGGATCTTCATAACCTAAAGAGAAACTTCTAGAACTGTGGTCTGTTTTCTTGAAGATACTTCTGTATATAAATGACAATAATTTGGTCTACATTTGATAAAGATTTAATGTAGCAATTTTTTATTTTCTTCACTTTGAGACAGATTCTTGCTGTGTGCAGCCCAGTTAGTTTCTAACTTGTGATTCTCCTGCCTTCTTCTATTGTAGGGGTTACAGGGTTTTCTTACCATCTCTGGCCTGTGTAGCAACACTTCTTAAATATCATGACCATTTTCCTAATTAAAACTTAAGTATCCATCTATAGTTATTTATTTGTTTGTTTGTTTTGGGTTTTGGTTTTTCAAGACAGGGTCTCTCTGTAGTTCTGGCTATCCAGGAATTGCTCTGTAGACCAGGCTGGGCTCAAACTCAAGAGATCCACCTGTCTCTGCCTCCCAAGTGCTGGGATTAAAGGTGTGCACCACCACAGCCTGCCTTTCATTTCCAAGTTTTTAACCAAGGAAACTACTGTTGATAAGCATCCTACGCCTGTGTTTGAATAGGTATGGGCCCTTTGGAGCCCTAGAAGAACTCTGTGATTCTTTTGGAGTTATTTGAATGTGAATGTATTAGAGGCATATGTTTTCTAGGTTGACACTGCCTATTACACATCTGTATTTTCCAGCCTGAGATGTCACTGTCCTGCTGCCACCACTCTTAACCTGTCATCTCGAATGTCTTTCACATGTTGATGATGCTGTCAGTACAGTTTTCACTTAGTAGTGCTGTGTTCCTGTTTTGTTCTTAATGCTCAGGGTCTGGGGCTAGAGAATTCATTATGAACCATAGCTGTGGTTCATTTTTGCTGCTCTCCAGTTACAGAACATTTAGGTAATTCCATCATTATAACATTATAACCAACATCTAAAGATGTACTGGCCTAAAGCTTTTTCTTTATTTAGACTTGCTCATCACTGATGCTTGGGAGGGTTCTTTTCACACATTGGCAAACTGCCTTCTCCCACGCATAGTGTTGCACACCTATAACCCTAGCAATTAGAAAGCAGAGGCAGGAGGATCTATAATACAAGGCCAGCCTCATCTGTGTATAGTGAAGTGTGAGAGAGCTGGGGCTTCCCTCTGGTAGGTGTAGACGTCTCGGAGGTCAATCCCTAGCAGTAAGAGAGACTAGGTGGAGGGACTGCTTTTCATAGGGTTCTCCAGATCCATGTAGCAGCAGTAAAGAGTAGTGATTTGTCTGTGTCTTCAGAAACACTGAATGTTTTTAGTTTTCCTAGAAGGAATTTTGTTTAATGTAATAGAAGGATTGTGAACTTGGAGTAAACTGTAGGCACCATTGGTAACTTCTGCTGACTCAGGGGCTACACTGGCCTGCCCTAGACTGTCACCTTATTCTTATTTCCTCTGAAACATGGGACCAGCTTCTGCAGTACTCCAGCTGTGGCTGACCCATCATACAGCTCTGGTTCTTCCCAGCTCTGATTCTGGGACCAGTCAGCTTGTCTCATCTTTTCTCTAGGAAAATAACATGTATATTATAAGTTGCCCCGGCTTATTGCCAGAGTTCAGGCAGAGTGTAAGTGGAGAAAGCATTAACTCTGTTGTGTACACAAGGGAACCCGGATTTGCGTTATACTACCTGTTGTAAAGTGCTCTGAGCCTCCGTCTCTACAACTATTAGATTCAGAGAGTGGTACTGATTTCTGCAGGACTTCAAGGATGGCAAGATAACGTGCCGACTGTGTTTCTGGGCCTAGGCAGTAGCTCTTGTAGTTTATAGCCCCCAGGAGACACATCTGCTTCTTTTCATCACAGAGCTCTTGATTAAGGAAGCTCTACCTGCTGACACACATACCAGATGCAAATGTGCTGTGAGGACCCTGAGAAAGTAGAAGCAAAATTGTTTTCATTGATGTTTGGGGCTATACCAGAGGCGCCATCAGTCCATAAGTCAATTCAGATTCCTGTTCACCAAGCACTTGCTGTGTGAGGTTGCATGCTGTGCAGTGGGACTCCTTCAGGACCTAAGTAGACAGATGATGAGCAGCCCATTATTACAGGCTTGATAAAGCAGCAAGCTAGGGAGGTACCCACACAGTGCCTTCAAGCTTCCCAGAGTCAGTCTTGGCATCTGTGGTGCCCTAGGAGGCAGCAGGGGCTCTTGTCGGGTCCTGCTCTTCACAAGAGGCGCTGGTATGGCAGGTGAGGGGCAGTTGCAATGGAACTGGGATCGGGACACTTTTCTAGGCTCCTGCTGTATTCTGTGCCTGCACCACTTACTCTCACCTCTGGGCCCTTCTCCCTTGCAGCAGGGACCCTGGGTGCAAGGGGCACAAATTTGCACACAGTGGCCTGGCCTGTGAGGCAGATGAGGGTCTGGGCGAGGAAGAGGATAGCAGCTCTGAGCGCAGCTCTTGCACCTCGTCCTCCACCCACCCACGCGATGGCAAGTTCTGTGACTGCTGCTACTGTGAGTTCTTCGGCCACAATGCGGTGAGTGAGCCTGCCTGGGCAGAGAGGGCTGGGCAGCCAGGGGGCAGAGGACAGACCCCTTGCTCACGGCAGCGGTTGCCACACTGGGACTGAGAGTCCTTGCACCTACATCTGTTTGCTTCAGCCTCGAGCCATATATGTGAGGTCGAGTTTTCTTAACGTTTTGTTGGCTGTGTTTTTCTCGTGGTTTCTCTTAAGATTGACTTTTTTTCTTTAGGCAGAAGGAAAGGAAGTGGCAGAGAGAAAGCTATGATTCTGATGAGTATGTATACATGTGTAATCCCAGAGAAGTGAACGCTTGTGCATGATGAAGGCAGAGTGGAAGCAGAGTTCCCCAAGTGTGGCAGCCAGCCGAGGTACAGGCCATGAGCACAGATGGCACCAAGGAGGAGACTCAGACCAGGGTATATGCTGCCTCTAGGCAGGAAAGCGATTCAGAAGTCTCAGAAGGAGAAAAGGGGAAGGCTGCTGGCTAGGGCAGAGCAGTTGAGGATAGGAAACATGGAAATAATTCAGAATTATTAGTCACCTTGAGCTAGGCATTGTTATCTTCATTTTAGAGGTGACAAAATTGAGGTTCACAAAGACTCAGTGACTCACCCAAGGTCATACAGCTTCCAAGTGATGAAGCCCGGACTCAAACCTGTTTCCCTGGCACCCCAGTCCTTGATCACCGAGCTCTGCCCTCATCTTCTTACCTACCACTGCTTCTGCTCAGAGCCTCCTGAGGATGAAGTCATTGGGCCTTGGTGGCTGATGCTAGAGAGAATAATTGTCTGGCTTCTCACCACATACTTGGTGCCAGTGGGTGGGAGCGCATTGGGCCTCCCCAACCTAGGGTATAATATCAGCACCTCCCCTCCCCCAGCCACCCGCTGCCCCGACGAGTCGGAATTATACTGAGATCCGGGAGAAGCTCCGCTCAAGGCTGACCAGGCGGAAAGAGGAGCCGCCCATGAAGGGGGGCACCCTGGGCGGGATCCCTGGGGAGCCTGCGGTGGACCACCGAGATGTGGATGAGCTGCTGGAATTCATCAACAGCACGGAGCCCAAAGTCCCCAACAGCGCCAGGGCCGCCAAGCGGGCCCGGCACAAGCTGAAAAAGAAGGTGGGTGTGGGGGGAGCCCAACTCTACTGCCGCTCCTCCCAGAGGGTCCCTCATCCTGAGACCTCTGGGGCATGATTGGTGCTGGCTACCAAAAGCCTTGATAAGGCTCAACCACTATGGGAAGGTCTGGATGAATCTGGGAGGCGTCAGAGTCAGGGAAAACCGGGGGCAAGTAATTGGAGAAGGAAATGGCTCAGCCACAAGCTCAGTTCTCCGAGCTGAGGTCGTTTGTTCATTCAGCAAGTACTTCCACAAATACTGGGAACCAGAATGTTAAGTCCTCATCCTAGAGAAGCTTAGTCCAGTGAGGAGACTGACACAAAGCTGGGCAAGCACATTAGGGTGTGACAGGTGCTGGACTGAGGGAGGTACTCTCTGTTGCCCAGAAGTGTCTTTGCAAGAGATTGGCTCGTCATCTGAGTCCCGGGGAGTAAGGACAGATTGATCAGGAGGGCCTTCCTGGCAGCAGGCACAGCGCATCTCACAGGCAGTGTGCTAAAGCCAAAGCTGAAGACAGCAGAGAAGAGGGGCAGGGAGTGGGGGTAGAAGCCAGCCTCGGGCCCTGCTGAAGGTCAGGCGAGAGGGTGTCACGCACGGTTGACGCCAGGTCTGTTTTGATTGTCGCGTGGTGGTGCAGAAGGCACACAGGAAGATGAGGGCAAGAAAAGTTTGATCCCCAAGGGTGGGGGTGACTGAGGGTGGGGCTCCAGAGACTGCAGGGCAGCAGAGGGGACTGACAAGCTTGGGTGTTCTAATGACAGCATGACAACACTGTCTGGGGGTCTCCCAAGTGGTAGGCAACATGGCAGTTGCAGAAGGCTGGATGCAGTTGGAGCACATTGATTCAGAGGCTCCTGTGAAACACTCAAGTGCAGTGAGGGTGTAAAAGTAGCAGTTGCTGGCACGGCGGTGTAATTGAAGCCATGGGAGTGAACCGGTCCTCAGCGCTGAGGACTGCGCCCAGGGAATGATTGATTCCTGGAGAGTCCTGCTACTGGATGAACCCTGGCGTTGATGGCTGTCACCTGTGGCTTTGTTACTTCTTCGCCTGCCTACCCCAGCTGTGTCTGCACAGTGCCACACGCAGGAACCACCATCTGAAGAGATTGGGCTTGACAGCCAGCTAATTCCAGTTCTTGGGTGGTTAAATAACCCTAAAGCTCTGGAGGGAGAAGTGATTCTCCATCTTTCCAGCCCAGGGGCAACCAGGATCCTTCTGTAGCCTGAAGTAGCGAACCAAAAGATCCTGCTGTAACTTCAGAGTTCCCCTCGCGAGGTTTTCAGTAGGCTACTGTGTCTCTGACCTCTTTGAGCAGTCCCCAGAGTGCATGCTCAGTAGTTCCCAGGTCTGGTGTGTTTTTTACTGTGCACCCTTCCTAAAAGACAGTCATTGCAGAACTCAGTTCATGTGTTTCCTCCTTTGCAGACACCCTCAGAGAAGTCTTCCCTGAACCTTGTATGTCCCTCTAGGCTGCCATTCATCACACCCCTCTGATCTCAAGCTCCCTCCCTGTACAGTCACTGTCTACTAGACCCTCTTGAGGTCCCATTGGTTCTAACTAGTTTAGCTGCCATCAAAAATCCCGCTTCTCTGGTAGGCATGTACTGATGGCTGCTTATTGTCTACCACCTTGGGAGGTGGGTGAAAACAGGGCTTTCCTGGTCCCTCGTTCTACTGGCAGACATTACTCCCTGAGCCCTTATTGTGTCATCAGCGACCTCACAGCCATTCTTCTTTGTCCACTTACTGTGACCCTTCTCTTCTTCCCAGGCCACTCACTCACTGGAGTAAATACTGGTAACAAGTAAATGAAGGGCCCATCATTCAGCCGCTCTTACCGGTTCTCTTCCGCCCCTTGCCTGTTGCCCTTCTGTCACATGTGCTCAGAGACACGGAATCCTATCTGTCCCCTTCTGCGCCCAGAGGACAGCGTGTGACTAAGTGCTCTCCCACTTGCTTGAGCTTTTGTGCAGGCTGGCTGACCTGTAGCTCCCTAGTCCTTTTGTTCCTTGTCATTCCCATTCATATAACCCTTTTGTCAGACCTCTGACTCTCCAGCCTCGAGGCTCTCAACTGCTCTCCCCGGTTTTTTAGCAAATACAAGTTCACTTCCATTTTCATCAAGCAAGAAGCCATTGGATAAACCTCCTCACCTAGAGGAAGAGTTGTACTTCTCCCATCCCAGGCCATATAGTCCTTTTTTGCTTCCCCAGCTTAGGCTGCCTGCTCTGTTTTCAAAGTCTTTGATTGGTAATCATTGTCTCAGGCCCTAACCCAGACTCTAGCAAAGAGATCTGAAGTCTCTCTGGTGTGGCGCCCATCACACATCTTTGTGCCCACTGTTGAGTTTCAAAGGCAGACAGTTCCTGGAAGCTATAGCCAGCCTTTCCTGCTCTCCCTGTCTGCTTCCTTCATCATAGCTGTAATTTCTGGAAGTTCTACATCCATGTTCATTGCTGTCACTTCCTACTTGTCCCCTGACCAAAGACTGCTGTCCACATCCTTCGATCACCACTTTATTGTCTGTCAGGGTTGTCTGCCAAGTGACCTTGGGCATTTTGTTTGTGCGCCCCTTTAAACCTTCTCTTTGGCTTCTTGACTTTCAGGCAAGTAGGGCCTAGGAATTGGGGTTACCATCATCCCCATATTTCTTACCTGCCTCTCTGACCTCTTTCTCCTTTGTGAATTCTTGCCCCTCACCTAGACTTTGTAGAGCACATCTCTCTGGGAAAGAGAAGGCGCTAGATAGTATTTTTACCCCATACTTGACATTGGCATCTCTGATAATAACTGGTCCTTTGGGAATATCCTGTAGGTACCTCAAACTCAGTCTATCACGGAAGAGGCCTGACCCAGTTGCCTGACCTTGAGCCCTGGGCACTGCTATGGTGAAGTACATTGTGACTAGAAGCAGTGAGCCTTGGAACTGGCCTTTGGTTTGAAGCTCAGCTTGATCACACTTGCTATATGACCTTGGTCAGATCACTTCATCTCTAAGCCTCAGTTTTTCCATTTATAAAATGGGAATAATAGGACCCTAAGTAATAGATTGTCCTGAGGGTGGAAGGAGATGGGTGGTACATGGAGGTTGGGCAGGGTGCCTGGCACCCTGTTTGGTTCATGGGGGCCACTGCAGCAGCTATAGTGATTGGTAATGTTTTCTGAACAAGTGTCATATTCCTTCCTGCCTACGCACAAAAATACCTATCCATGATAATCCCGCACCCCCAGCTCAAACCAGTCCACTTTTCTCCACCCACGGCATCTGTTTTTCAAGCTTTCAGTTGGTAATCACTGATTGCCTTAGGCTCCAACCCAGACTTCTGCACAGCCTGCAGAGTTCATTAGGCTCCAGCCACAGTGTAGCCTGCCAGCTCCATCTTTCAGCCTCACTTTTTAACCTACCTGTCTCTTAAGGTCTAGACACCACACCTTCCCCCACAAAAAAGTAAAACAAAACTCTAGGCTCTAGCTGTACCTCAGCACAGCTTTTGCTTCCTATTGGCGTGCTATTCCATTCCCCTAATTTTACACTTGCTTCTTCCACCTTCTACCTAGAATGTACTTGTCTCGTTTTTTCCAGGGTAATCCCCCACCCTTCCGGCCCCTCCAGGGACACTCTCAGATGACCCAGGCTGGGTTAGAAGCACCTTGTACGTTGTGCCCCGTAGGGTTTGACCCCGTCACTCTGAATTAAACAGACCATTTATTTATATGTCTCTTCCTTGACTAACCAAAGCTGGAAACAGAGACCTCCCAAAGCTTAGCCCACTGCCTCACAGTCAGTGAGCAAATAGAACTGAAAAGTCTGCAGTTTCTGAGTCATCCTTGGCACCTTGTCCTGATTTTGTCACTTAGTAGCCACCAAAGCTTGAGCCAATCTCATATTCTTGCCAAAGTCGAAGTTCATCATCTGTAAACTAGGCACTAAGGTGCAACAAGGGCAGGGTTAGGGTTAAAAAGTGACTTGCTGCCCGGAGTCAGGTGTTTGCATGGAACCACGCTGCATTTCTGTACTCTCCTTTCATTGCCGATGTTAGTAATGAGGAGGTGCTGCCCACACCAGTACTTTTCAGACTTGATCCACACAGAGCAAACATTTCTGTGAGGAAATAAAAACTTCTTATCCATAACAACCAGAAGCCAGGCTGTGCTGACTCAGGGAGACAAGGAGAGACCATCCCTACGGTCTCAAGTACACCTGCAAATATTCCTCCAGGCCACATTGCTGCTCACCTGAGTAGACAGAGTCCTAACACATGGGAAGGAGTCTTGGCACCAACCCTTATAGCCATCTGCAGAGCAACTTTTTCTCCTAAATTATAAACTTGGTTCAAAGAGAGTAAGTGATTTGTCCAAGGAGCTCTGAGTTTCAGTATGTAGTCAGTGTTCAGAAAAGATGAGAACACATCTGGGCCAGAGGATCACAATGTTTTTGCTGATTCTGTGGTAATGGCAAGTCTTTTCTCCTCCAGATTCATTCTCCTCTTTCTCCCCCTTAATCTGCAAGTCAGCTGGAAATGCTTGAGGTGGGGCTCTGCCACACCCTTCCCATCTGACTCCCAGCTCCCTTCGAAGGCCTTGTTACTTGTTAGCCTCTGGTACCTTGGGTTTGGGTAGACAAATGTGGATAACTCCACCCACAGACTGATTTCCTTTCTCCAGATTCAAGTCTGGGTGGGGCCTCCCAGTCTTCACGTGTACTGAGGGGCTGCTTTCAGATCTTGTGAGGGCCCTGTCCCTCATGATGGTATGCTATAGGACACACCTTAGATGTGGCTGGGGTATGTGGATCTGGCTGAGCGATGAGAGACCTTTTTAAAAGATGCCCCACTTCAGTAATAGAGCATCAGAAAGGCGCTTGCATGTCAGCCACTCGGCAGCTCAATCCCTATACCTTATTTCCTTTAAGACTGCATAATAAAATTGAAGAGACTGCCTCTCTATGGCCATGCATCCCCACTTTGTTCTTTATTCCAGAATTATTGTCTCTACTTTGCAGATGAGTCTACTGGGGCCTAACTGGGGAGTGTGTGAATTACTCAAGCTCATGCTAACTCATGCCTAGGAAACAGATCTAGTCTTTGTAGACCCAGAACTGGCACAGGCTCTTGATGGATAAACTGTCAAAACCCTACCCTTGGGGGCATATTTGTGCTTCCACCCCCAAGACTTGATATTATCTGGTGTCACTGCCCCGTCATTCCTACAGGGCTGAAGACCATGTGGAGATCACTAATCTCTGCCTTCAGCAAGTGAGTGGCAAAGCTAAGTCCCAGGCTAACGTGTCAGGTGTCACATTGTACCTGGTTGCTGCAAGACCTCTGCTGAAACTGCCTCTTTTATTGGCAGGAAAAAGAGAGGGCCCGGTTGGCACCAGAAGCTCTGAAGCAGGTGAACCGTGTTTCTGGAAGCCAGGAGCCAAGGCCTGCCAGGGAGAGGCTCCTCCAGTGGCCTGATCAGGAGCTGGACCGGGTCAGCAGCTTCTTGAGCAGCCGCTTGCAGGAGATGAAGAGCACCGCCAAAGACCCCCTCTGTGCCGGTTTCAGCACTCGGGAGCTCAACACGGAGAGCAGGGGCTTTAAGGAGGGGACTGTGGAACCTCAGCCCCAGACTCTAACCCCTTCAGACCTCAATGGCTCCTCTGAGCAGCAGCCTGATATCAACCTTGACCTGTCCCCTTTGACTTTGGGCTCCCTTCAGAGCCACTCGTTACAAGCTCCAAGTGAGCCGGTCGCAGCATGGGCAGAAAGAAGAGACCCTCACCCGCCATGGACAGAGGTGAGGGGCCCCCCGCCTGGGGTCCCTGAGAATGGGCTCGTGAGAAGACTCAACACTGTGCCCAACCTGTCTCGGGTGATCTGGGTCAAGACGCCCAAGCCAGGCAACCCTAGCCCTGAGGAGAGCTCAAAGGAAGTCCCCAGTTGCAAACAGGAGGTGTGTGAGCCGCTGGGCACAGGTGGGAAGCCAAGAAAGAGCAAGAGACAGGGAGGTCAAGCGAAGAAGAGTGAGGCAGGCCTGGCCCCCTGGCCTCCAGCCAGCCTAGAGGCCCCCAGTGCCAAGAGCCAGACATCTAGCCCCAAGCAGCCAGGCGAGGGCCCAGAGCCGGCCAAAGTGGGTAACTGCGCAGAACCTGGAGAGGCCAGCCGGGACAGCAGGCCAGGGCCAAGCTGGGCCGATGGCCCCAAAATTGAGAAGAAGGGTAGTTCCTGTCAGAACTGGCCAAATGAGGCCAAGGCACGGACTCAGGAGCAGGAGTCTGTGCAGACCCCAGGCCCAGCAAGGCCACAGAGCTTGTCCCAGGGCAAGGGCCGCAGCCGCCGGAGCCGCAAACAGGAGAAGTCAGCCTCCTCCTTGGGTGAGTGCACCAGGAACCAAGTGGCTGAACCCCCACCCCAACCAAGCCACGGGGTGGAGGGCAGTCCCCGTGTATGGTCAGCACTGCCCCCGGCATGACCCCGGAGGCCTGGCCATGGGCACTGAGCCTTCCTGGCTGTGTCTCCCTAGACGATGTGTTCCTGCCCAAGGACATGGATGGGGTGGAGATGGATGAGACAGACCGGGAGGTGGAGTACTTCAAGAGGTAGGTGTGTGCTGCCTTCCTCCAACTGAGGGCAGATTATGTCCATACCCAAGCCCCATGTCATGTCTCAGACCTGAGAAAGTCTGTAGGGGGGCCTCACCACCCTTCCAGGCCCTTGCATGTAGCCTGAACCCACGGAGCTGCTTGGCATGGCAGAGCATCTCAGAAGGTGCAAGGTAGAAGGAGGAGGAGCCATGTTGGGATGGAAAAACTAGGACTTTCTGCAGCTTTACCCATTTTTATTTCTTACTCGTTTTAAACAGGGTCTCAGTGCAGCACTGGCTGCCTTAGAACTCATTATATAAACTAGGCTGACCTCAAACTCAGATCCTTTCTCTGATTCCCAAGTGTGCGGGTTTTTCTTGTACTTGTCTTCCTGTGGGTCAGGCTATAGGAACAGTCTAGACAGAGAGAGAGTTACAAGACACAACACACTGATTGGTGCCATTAGAGGCTTAAAGGCTCACGTGATGGGACCTCGGGGTGACGCCTTCACACCAGCCTGGGGCTTAGAGGAGGCCTTTCTGGGAGAAGAGCGAGGCTGAGCTAAGCTCGTCGGGTACACACTGCATGGAGCAGTATGTACAAAAGTCTGAGGGTGACCCAGCTTAGTGCAGTGAGGGTGAGGTGGAGATGGACAGTCTGGCTCACAGCAGCTGTCTTCGTGTCCTAGCTCCTGGCCTCGAGGGCAGTTCTCAACCAATGAAATTCTCTTGCCCAGCAAACCCAAACACCTGGAGGCTATGGTGCCTACTTAGAGTGTGTTTCTTTCCTTTTGTTTTTTAAAGAGGCTTACTGTAGCCCAGGCCACAAATTCATGGCAGACGAGTGCTGGGATTACACTGTATACCACCAGCCTGGGCTTCCAGCTGGTTTCTCAATGAATAGGACATGTTTTGTCTAGAGGTGGGGTCCAGTGAGGACAGGAAAGGACTGTGCTTTACCCGTATTTTCCTAAACCCAATAGGTTCTGTTTGGATTCTGCAAAGCAAACTCGTCAGAAAGTTGCTGTGAACTGGACCAACTTCAGCCTCAAGAAAACCACTCCTAGCACAGCTCAGTGAGGTAGAGACCCTCACCTGGTCCTTGCACTCCCTTCTTCCCATGCCCTGCCACATCTGTGCCCCACGTAGCCATTCTGTGTTCTGCTCTGGGAACTAGGGCTTAGGGCTTGCTGTCCCTGCTTTCTTCACCTCCCTAGCAACCATGTGTCCAGGCTCACTTGCTGCTGATCTGCGCTGCCTTCTGTGTGCCTGCTCACCCAAGGCCTCTCCGTCTCCACCTCTCCTCCTCCCCCATCTTGCTGCCGCTTCTCTTGGAGGTCTGCTTGTTAGGATGGTATCAATGGGGCTCAGCCTCCCTCCCAAAGCCTGCAGGCAGCAGTAGACTTCATGGAAGTGCACTACGCTTGGGCATTGGGCTTAAGTCCCATTTGCTCCTCAGTTCTACAATCTGAATGACGTCCACCTAAAGCAGTATAAGAGACTAGCCCCAAGGAGCAGTGAGGGGCAGGCGAGCTAGAGCAAGACCAGCTAGGTCATTGGTAATCGTGGAGGGTTAGTGGAGGGTTTCCCCAGAAGGGCAAGTTGCCTGAGGAACTAGTAGCTAAGCTGCTTTTTGGAAAAATCTGTCCCACAAGCAGCTCTGGCCTACCCTCCAGCCAATCTGCACTAATCCTTTTATCTGAACTAATGACCTGTTGGATAATGTTTGGGGCTGGGTGCCCAAGACTGGAGAAAGCCTCCAGGCAAGGAGCTTTACTGTGGAAGAGAGATGAAGCTTGGGGGACTTTTGGAATAGAATAGTTCAATGTCTTTTTGTTTGTTTGTTTTGTTTTTTGTTTTTTGAGACGGGTTTTCTTTGTGTAGCCTGCCCTGGAACTCGCTCTGTAGACCAACCAGGCTAGCCTTGAACTCACAGAGATCAGCCTGCCTCTGCCTCCCGAGTGCTGGGATTAAAGGTGTGTGCCACCACTGTTCAGCATAGCATAAATGATTTATTGTATGTGCATTGGTACTTTACCTTTGTGTATGTCTATGAGAGGGTGTTGGATCGCAGTTAGAGATAGGTATAAGCTGTGATGTGGGTGCTGGGATTTGAACACAGTTCCTTTGGAAGAACAGCCAGTGCTCCTAACCTCTGATCCGTCTGTCCCACCCCACAGTTCCATGTAGTAATCTTGTTCTGTGTACCTGGATCAGGTCTTTTTGTCTGACAGCTACTACAAAGCTGCCCTTAATACAGTGGGAGGCTTGGACAGGTGGCCTCATTTCTGTATGTGTATTCTTGGTCCCCATCTGTCTCTATGCTCCTCTGCTCTTTAAAAAGTAGTCAGCCTCCTGGACCCTGACCAAGTCCCCAGGCAGTACAGAGGCCTGAGGCTAGGACAGTCTTCAGAGTTGTGGCCCCTGTGCTGTGCGGAGTCTGATCCTCTGCCTGCTACACCTGATAACCACACCCCAAGGTATCTTCTAGGGCTAAGGCACTCACCCTCTTACCTCTCTTCTCTACCACTACAAGAGCAAGAAATAGCAAGACCCCACGCACTGTTGCCCTATGGAAGGAAAAAGGGTCACACCTCCTCACATAAGCCCAATTTCCCTGGTTTCCTGGGAAACCTAATTCAGACATCTTCTACTATCTGGGCTGATCTCTTCCAAAATAGGAAGGCCACTACCCTCCTCCCCACCCTCATGAGTGCATGTCCTAGAGTGTCTCGTTTTCTTAAAGGCAGGGTTAGGATCCTTCAGGGCTGGCAGACTCAGGACCCAGCCCAGTCTGTTTCCTTGGAAACTGAGTAAGAGTCTGAATATAGGACTGGCCTTCATCAGTATCTGTCAGAGAACCAGCAACCAAGCTCTCAGCCCTGACCTGGATAGATGTGCTGTAGGAAGGGCCTCAGGTTTCTTGGAGATTGTCCCTCCCATGTGTTGACAGAACCTCAGGACAGGGGCTCTGTCCCTCAACAGTTTTAAACTGCATTTTCCACTGGAAATTTTCAAATTTCCATTTGGGACCCAGAGCCAGCAGGGATGTGGAGGAGAGGCTGGTGCTGTTATCCACCCCAACCCAGGGCAAGAAGGGCAGGGTGGGGGCGGGGGTATGGCACTGGTGTTCACTGCAATTCTGCCATTTTTTTCCCCCTCAGCCGTGCCCAGGTCGACTTCTCCAGGTCATCTCGAGGCCACCAACTCAAGCTGCAGATGTACTTTCTACTCCGTGTGCCCTTCCACCCGTCTTGACCCTCCCAGCTCCCACCACCCTGACCAACCAAAAGCTGAACGGATGCCATGCTGCGCTGGGGCCTTTGAGGACCTCAGCAGAGCTGCTTCCTGGTGCTACGCAGCCTCCACACTCAGAGCCCAGGGAATGGGCTGGCCTGTGAGCCAAGGGCTGACGGTACTGCTGGCCCAACACTGCTCTCTGTGTTTGGTTTGGTTTGTTTGTTTTGTTTTGTTTTTTTAATTCTTTACTTTTGATACTGTGAATATCTTTCATGCAGAAAGATAAAGCAACATTTGGACACAGTTAGTGTGATGGTGATTTGCTGTTCTGAATGGGGAGCGGGTGGGATCTATGTACTCAGAAAGAGGATCTGTCTTGGTCATCACTGTGGAGCGGTACTCTGTACAAACAAGTCGTCATATTTTCACTTAATCCTAAATGTGACTGATAGCCCAGTTTAAAGACGAGGAAACTGAGGCTAAGATACTAGTGACTAGTGAACAAACAGTCTGGTTAAGTGGGCTAAAGTACAAGGCTGTGACTCACTGCCCAGGCCCTTGCAAGTACATGAGCCTGGAACACTACATGGGCTGAGAAGTGCTGAAGGCCTGGAAGGTTCCTGGACAGCCACTGATCTTTGGTTCTTTTTATTAGTTTTTAGTTTTTGTGTACATGTATGTTTGGGTGCTACATGCATGCAGTACCTGTAGAGGCCAGAGGGAGGTATTGACTCCCCTGGGGCTGGAGTTACACATGATGTAAGCTGCCATGTTGACACTGGGAATTGAATTGGCTCCTCTGAAGAACAGACGGTGTTTTTAACTACTGAGCCATCTCTCCAGCCCCCATAAGAGTTCCTGATCTTTAGTCCACGTTGAAAGGCTGAAGAAGTTAGGTTCAGATATTCAGCAGTGGTAACGGTGACAAAGTAGATGCATTCACCAGCGAGGTGAAAACGGGCAGGAAAAGGGCTTTTCCCTTGGATCCCTTTTGTCCAGGCAATCATCTGGAAGGTGCTTCCCATTCTGGAGGCAGGTCTTCACCCCTCAGTAAACCCTTCCTGTAAATGCCCGTACAGACCCACTCCAAGCTGTATGTGTATCTGCTAGTTTATTCCAGTATTAACCCTTACACTTAGTTTTCTCCTTTCAAGATGGCCATGTGCATGAGAACATGGCCTATAGCCATGGCCAGCTGAGAACCACCCACACTGTACCCAACACAACTGGAGCAGTTAAGGGCAAAATGAACTTTCGTGAATTAGACCAGATTGCCTAGTGGGGATGAAATGTGTACCCACAGACCTGAGGATAAAACAGATAATGAACATCCAAAAAGTAAAGGGATCCACCTCCATCCTCCCAATTTGTATTTTTAATGCAACAGGTTTGCTAAAAATACCTTACACATGCTTACAACTGCCCTAGAGTAGTTATTTCCTATTAAATGCATTCTTTTTTGATTTTTGAGACAAGATCTATGTAGTCCCAGCTGTCCTGGAACTTGCTATGTAGACAGAGCTGGCCTCAAACTCACAGAGAGTGAGTTTGCCTCAACCTTGGGAGAGCTGTAATTAAGGTGTATAGTACCTCACCGGGCCTAAATGTCTCCCTCTCTCTCCCTCTGCCTCTCTCTGTCTCCCTCTCTCCCTCTCTCTCCCTCTCTCTCTTTCTCTCTCTTTTTTTTTTTTTTTTTTTTTTTTTTTGGAAGGAAATGAGTGTTCTACTCACGGTGAGCCTGGTGCCCAAGATCAGAAAAGGGCATTGGATTCCAAAGAACTGGGGTTACAAATGTTTGTGAGGCGCTATACGGGTGCTGAAAATCAAAACTGGGTCTTCTGCAAGAGCAAATGCTCGTATGGTGGTATTGAGACATCTGTCCTTGGGGTCCCGACGAGGTACAATTCACTGTGTTCCTTTATAACAGGGAGGCCTTAGCTGGATGGCATGCCTGTAATCCCAGCTCTGGGGAAGCAGAGGCAGTGGATCCCAGTGAGTTAGAGGCTAGCCTGGTCTGCATAGTGGGTTCCAGGACAGCCAGGACTGTTGCACAGAGATAACCTTGTCATGAAAAGAACAAGCAGGCAGGCCTTGCCCACCTCAGCTTTCCTTCTCTCTGTTGTAGGTCCCCGTGTACTTCCCCGCTTGTATGACTCTACTCTATCTCCTACGGTTTTAAATTACAACATTTAACCCCTGAGCCATCTCTCCCTAAATGCCATTCTTAACCGAGCTTCTATGGATAGCACAGTGTCTAGAGGTGTACTCTGCAGGCCAAGAGCCCTCCACAAACGGACCATTCCTCTTGTGACCCAGGTCCCACCATAGGACTGGGCATCGGTTTCCTTCTAAAGAAAGGGAGCAGGATTCCTGCCTCTTAGCCCATTCAATCCCCAGGGAAGGGAAAGCAGATGCAGACTTTCTCTCTGTATTTGTTAGTTATATTTTTCATACTCCTAACAGCTATCTAAAATTCCACTTGTGCCATAAGTGAAGATCTGGTCGGGTACTACAAGTCTCCGTCATTCAGCACTTGCTCCTAGACTATGCAGTCACCAGGGAGGCTTGGTGGCCTTAGTTCTAACTTTGGTCACATTCCTGACTTCCACATTTACTTATCATTTATGAATTCCAGTTTTTTGTTTGTTTGTTTGTTTGCCTTAAGATAAATTCTCAGAGCTGGCCTCAAACTTAGAGAGCTGCCTGCTCTGCCTCCTAAATGCTGGGATTGAAGGTGTGCCACACTTAGCTTTCTTCTTTCGTCTTCTCCCTCCTCCTAATTCCTGCTCATCGTTCACATTCTACAAGAGAAGCCATTTGCTATGAATATCTTGAGAATCGATTTGCATTACCTTGTGATGATTCTATGCTTGGTATTATGCCACACGATCTCAGCACTCCTGAGACTGAGGCAGGAAGATCACAAGTTTGAGGCCAGCCTCGGCTAGAAAAACAAATCCTTACATTTCTCATAATCTCAAAGCAAGTAAATAGGTTGTCTTCACACCATGTCCTGTCCCTCCACTCCCTCTTTGAAACTACTGCGTGGTGATCAATGCTCCTATTAGGGACACTGTAGTAGGACGGGGCAGCCAGCACTAGTTCTACCATGCCTCCCTAGAGTGACAACCTTTCCCTGTACCTCACTCCAGCCCCGAGATGTCTGTGCCCTGAGGAATTTGTGTACTTGCTCTTGACACTTTCAGCCCCGCTCCTACCGTGCTGAGTCCTTCACTTCCGCATAAACCCAAAGCCAGCGCCTCCTGACCGACCCCACAGATTCCCAGGCGGTCTCTGAGATTTGAGTCATTTACACATACAGGGCTTCCACTAAAATAACACTGACTGCCGGGCGGTGGAGGCGCACGCCTTTAACTCCTGCACAGAGGCAGGCGGATCTCTTGGGTTCCAGGACCATTGTTTTACTCGCGACCCCTTGGGGCCGGGGCGTTAGGGAACCCGTCTAGCAGGGCTGGGGCTCCAGGCCACTAGAGGGCGCAGCGTCCTCCCCGAGAACAAGCGGAAGAACGCCTCGCTCTGCACTGCTGAGCGGCTTCATCCTTTCGCTGATCGACTCGAGTCTTCTGCGCATGCTCCCAGTCCTCCCGTTACCCACAAGGCTTCGCCGGAAGCTTCCGATAGGCTCCGGCGCCCGCCCACAATAACGCTGGAGAAAGTTTGTCCCAATACGCGATCCGGCGCTCCCGCGGTTGCTAGGCGACGACGACAGTTTTTCCCCCGTCTCATTGGAGTTCAGAGGAGGCGTGGCTTTCTGCCCTGGCATTGCGCATGTGTGCGACCAACGATGGAGGAGTCGGAACCCGAGCGGAAGGTGGGAGTGAGGCTGGGTCCACGCGAGGGGGAGCGGGAAGGGGAGGGGCCGTGGGCTGACTCCGGTCTCTGCAGCGGGCTCGCGCGGACGAGGCGGCCGCGGGAGGGAGCCGCTCCGAGGACGAGGACGAAGACGACGAGGACTACGTACCCTATGTGCCTTTGCGGCAGCGCCGGCAGCTACTGGTGAGGGCCGGAGTTCCAGGGGCAACGGGGGCGTGTCCGCGGCGGGAGGGGCGGGAGGGGCGGGAGGGGCGGGCTGGGCAGCCGGGCGGCCGGGCGTGAGCTTCCCGGAAAACGCCGACCCTCCGGGTGCCGTCTCCGCCCGCCCCCCGCCCACCCCATCTACCGAGTCTTGGCCTTGACCCTGAGGGGCACTGGTGGGACTCCAGCTCCAGAAGCTGCTGCAACGAAGACGCAAGGGAGCTGCAGAAGAAGAGCAGCAGGACAGTGGCAGTGAGCCCCGAGGAGATGAGGACGACATCCCGCTGGGCCCCCAGTCCAATGTCAGCCTCCTGGATCAGCACCAGCACCTCAAGGAGAAGGCTGAAGGTAGGCTGAGCAGGAAGGAGAGGCTGAGCCTGCGACGCAGGGCTCCTGTCTCTCTAACATCTTTGGCTTCCTTTGTCAGCGCGCAAGGAGTCGGCCAAGGAAAAGCAACTGAAGGAAGAAGAAAAGATTCTAGAGAGTGTGGCGGAAGGCCGAGGTATGATTGATTATAGCTGGTGCAAGGAGGTGAACTGAGCCGCCTCCTTCCAGCCCGAAGCACATTGTGTCCCAAGGGGTCTGAGGCAAATTGAGCTGTGTCTGTCTCCTGCAGCCTTGATGTCAGTGAAGGAAATGGCCAAAGGCATCACGTATGACGATCCAATCAAAACCAGGTATGTCTTTCCAATCAATTTATGTGGCTAAAGACTGGCATCGATTCGGAGGCGCAGCCACACCAGCAGCCTGGGCTAACCTCTGCTGCCCACTTGCAGTTGGACGCCTCCACGTTATGTCCTGAGCATGTCTGAAGAACGTCATGAGCGAGTCCGGAAGAAGTACCACATCCTAGTAGAGGGAGATGGTATCCCACCACCCATCAAGAGTTTCAAGGAGATGAAGTTCCCTGCCGGTGTGTGAGGAGAGGGGAGGCGCCATGCTTTTATACCCGAGCCTCTGTGAGATTGTCCCAGCCCCAGCCGAGCTCAGCAGTAGGAATGGAAGGGTTGATGGGACTTCCCTTTGTGGTTGGTGGTGGTGGTGGTGGTTAGTTCTGGAGGAGAAGTTCTTCTGAGACAGGGTCTCACTCTGCAGCCCAGGCTGACCTCACATTCATCCGTGCTGAATGCTAGTGTTAACATTCTCAACATGACCTACCATGCCCTGTGTGGAGGTAGGCTTGAAACCAGGTGTGGCTATGGGGACCTGGTTGTCCCAGAACTTAACTGTGTCTCCCAGCTTTGTACCACAGGAGTGTACCCCACCTG